GAAATATTACAATTCAATTATTTATGTATGTGCATGGTAACATTTATTTATGAATATATTAAATATAATATTAAGTCATCAAATTCATGTGCATATATTTTGGGAGCTATTTAATTATTTTGTGAATAAATAAATTATTCAAACTCATGAACACATATTTATTTTCAAGATTATTCATTTTATCATAAATTATTCTAGGAGTATATAAATTATTAAGGATTATATAATTTGAGAGCTATTCAATTGTTATAGGAGTAGATAAATAATTCAAGTTCGTGTACACATATTTGATTTTAATATTATTCATTTAATCTATGATATAACACAATTTGTCTAAATGTATGTAAATTATTCTTTTTCTATATTTATTGATTCAAATTAATTAAATTTCATGTTGGTTCGTGTACAAACCCTTTGTTTAAATGTATATAAATTATTATTTTTCTATATCTATTAATTCAAATTAATTAAATTTCACAGTGATTCACTTACACCACATTTGTTTAAATATATATACATTATTATTCTTCTATATTTATCGATTCAAATTAATTAAATTCCATATTCATGAATCAATTTGATAATTCTCGTACAATTCAATTATTATTTGCGTGCATGTTTAATAATTAGTATTCAATTAAATATTTATTGAAAAAGGAAAAGTAAGATACTACTGAAATAATTAAATTGTANTAATTAATATTCAATTAAATATATACTGAAAATGGAAATGTATGGTACTATTGAAATAATTAAATATGATTAAAATCGTCCAGAAAATGATTCTCGATTTATGCGATATTTAATATATTATAGATATATAAAAAAACCTTTTTTTAACTGCTAAGCCTTATTCGATGGGGATTAAAATTAAGTTTTTTTTTTTATTTTGATAAAAATTAACAAAATACGTGATTAAAAAGCTGTGAATTCTATGAAGTATCTGATTTAAATTAATATATTCCCTATCAAACCGCGGCCAAATATGAAAAAGAAAGGTAAGATAATCCAATATGTAATAAGAAATTAACTAAAAGTAATTTTGTCGCTTCTAGATTTAACCTAACATGCGCTATTACTGATTTTTTATTTATCAATTTCTTATTTTGACCTTAATTTTTTTCAATAATGTTGTTAATTGTCGATGTTATCACATAAAATTTTAAACTTACCCAAACATGCTTGTCATTTCATAATTATTTTTTAGGGGTATCTTCAATTTAGACTCTCAAATATTTTTTAAAAAATAAAAAATAAAAACATATGAATTTTTTAATGCTAGCAAGGGTATGAAATAATTAAAAGGAAAATTAAGTCCACTACCCTAAAAAAATTAGAT